AATCTACCGATTAAAGGAAGCAGATATAGTCTATTCCACCACACTTCTAGTAATGGGTACAATTACTCACCATTCTTTACACATCAAACATGAATGAAGGTGATTTACCGCCACGTTTTTAACTTTCTTTTCACTGAAAATTTCGTGTGAAATCTGGAAATTTGAAGATTGAAGATTTTGTTATCGTAGCTGAGCAAGGTGACCGCCGGCGTTCGCGGCACCGGACTTCGTCTTTTGATTCTAAATTTTATTCTGTATATTATTGGCCTTGTAGTCGTGTTCAGACTTCTCTAGATGCTCGTGACTTGTAACACCCCGGTCGGGCTGTGTTGGGTTGTAAATATCGATTATTATTGCCATTAAGTTGTATTTATCTATTCATTTATGTTTAATAATTTTGAAAGAGGCGTTGTTGTTCTGTTGGCTGGCCTTTTCTTCACGAGAGGCGCCATCACGACTAGTGCGGGTTTCGGGTCGTGACAATTTAAAGCTTTGAGCATTCTCCCAGATTGGAAAAATTCCAATACAGCACCAGTGATATGCTCTCCTACAATTCCAGCTATCTTTAAAGAATTGGCTTCCATACCCATCTGGTCCTGGTGCCTTTGTCCCATCTATATCCCATAGTGCCTCTTTGACTTCCTTCTATGAAAATCCTTTAATCAGCTGACTCCTTTGTTCTTCTGAAACAATTGGTCCTTCTTGCACTATGCTGCTTACCACATGGTCTCTATCCTGTTTATCAGTGCCAAGAAGATTCATGTAGAATTCCTTAAAAGCATCAACTACTGCATCTGTTGTTTGAACTGTTTCCCCATGTATGTTTTGGATGGTGAAAATTCTGGTTGCTGTTCTCTTTGCCTTGATCACCGAGTGAAAATAACTTGTATTCATGTCTCCATATTTAAGCCATTGCACCTTGCTCCTTTGCTGCATGTATTTTGATTTTGCCTCTTTCCAGTATATGTACTTCTTGGTCAGTTCCTTCTCCTCTTTGCCTAATCTTTCATTCCTGGTCTCCTTTTGTATTTTCTCTTGACATTCAATCAATTTCTTCATGCTTTCATCTTCTTGTTTCTCTACCTCAGCAAATCTATCCTTGTTTAACTTGATCAACACTTTATTGAGTGTGTTCAACTTTCCAACCACTTTAAACATTTTTGTCCCTTGTATTTGTTGTCTCCAAGTCCCCTCCACTCTGATCATGAAGGATTTGTCCATACTCCATATGTTATAATATCTGAATATCCTCATTTTAGGTGCACCTGTCCCTTCCCACTGGATAATTGCAGGACTATGATCATACACTCCTGCTGGCATATAGTGCACTTCAGAAGCTGGCAGTTTATTCACCCAGTCATTGTTGGTGAATACCCTGTCTATTCTGCTAAGTACTCTGTCCTGACCTTCCTGTTTGTTACTCCAAGTATAGAAGCCACCTGATCATTTCAACTCTTGTAGACCACTGTATTCCACACACTCTTTAAACTCTCTTATTTCTGCATATGTCACCTTACTCCCACTCTATCCTCTTGATTGAGTATAGAGTTGAAGTCTCCCATTATTGCCCATGCCCCTCTTACTTGATTAGCTATCCTTCTTATATCTCTCCATAACTCAGCCCTTAGTGCTTGATCATTAAATCCATACACCATTGTTACATTCATCTTCTTCCCTGTGCTGCTATGATTTATTACACTATGAATTAGTTGTTCTGTTACCATTTCCACCTGCATAGTGAATATCTGAGGCCCCCACAATATCCATACCCTCCCTGGATTGTGCTTTGAGTGATTTGTAATGTAGGACCATCCTGTGCAAAGATTAAGAGCAGCTTTGTTAGCCTTAGCTCTCTTAATCTTTGTTTCCAAGAGCCCAAACAATCCAACCTGCTGCCTTTGAAGGAATAAGTTGACTTCCTTCTGTTTGGTTGTTCTGTTTAGGCCCCTGGTATTCCAGAAACCAATACTATCCATTAGGGAGGTGGGGTTTAGGCCCCCTAACCTACCCTGTTTTGCTACCAATTCCCCGAGTTTATGTTGGTCTTTCCTTTGACTGCTCCTCATCTTCTTTGGTTTCATTGTTCCTGCTTCTCACTTGTGTGACTACAACATAATCGTTCTGATTACTTCCTCTACTTCTCCATGCTTTCTTGCCTTGCACCACATGCCATGTTTCCTGTTCCTTGTTGTTGTTGCCTGCCACAATTTCCTTCCCCTGTGTTTCCTGTTGCTTCTCTGAATTATTCTCAATTGGATTATTATCACTTGCATCCAATTGCTGTTGTTTCTCTGGCTTCCCCACCTGATCTGTTGGATTATGATTGTCTGTTCCTTTGGTGCTTCTTTCCCCTTCCTTGTCCTGCCTTAATTGTTTCCTACATTCATTGATGTCATGTCCAAAGTTTCCACATGCTGAACAATAGATTGGCTTCCATTCATATCTCACCTCCTGCTCTATAATTGCTCCACATTCATTCTCAAACATGACTATGTCTGGATAATTCTGATCTGGCTCAACTTCTACCAGAATCCTTGCAAATTGTAATCACTATTTTTGTGTTGTTGCTCTGTCTGCTTTCAATGGGTTGCCTATCAGCCCTGCAATTTTTTTCAGGGCATTTTGTCCCCAGTACTTAATGTCCAAATTCATTAATCGAATCCACACAGGAATTTTATCAACCACCTGCTTGTTAAATTTGATATCCGGTCTCCATGGTTTAACCACCATTGGCTTTTTATCAAACATTCGAATCCCTTCCTCCACCACCTTCTCCTTATTCTCCAATGAATGAAACCTTACTATGAATACTCCTATGTTCGCCTGAACAATTTTATCAATTCCAAGTGATCCCCATACTCGTTTAATGTATCCTTCCATAACCATTTGTGGGGGATTTGACCCTAAAATATATCAAATTACAGCTGATTTCCAGTAAATTATCTTATCCTTTATATCTTCCATTGTTATTTTCACATTCCCTCTCACTTGTTCCCCTCCCTTCCCAGTTAGGTCATATCCTTCACTATTTTCCCTTTTTCCTACAATTCTACTTCAATTTTCCCATGTTTTTGGTGTTTTTGCATTGCTGTGTTTCCCAATTGATTTCGATTCACTTACCTCATCCTCCATTTGATCTGCCCATGATTTCATTATCGGCGCGCTCTCCACTATTGTTGATGTTGATGCCAGTGTTCTCTCCAAATCCAGTGGAGCTATGCCTTGAATTGCATTGACATTTCGAAATTTCCTCGCCTGCGATGACTGTGGTACTCTTTTTAGGTCTCCTCCGCTTGTATTGAGCTGCACTGTACTCCTTCCTCCTCCAGATTTTGCTTTCCTCGCCTTATTAGTTGCCTGAGAGGAGAGCTCACGTTCTAGAGAGAGAAAGTTTCATAGCTATTTTTTTTGTATTCTTTTTTAATTTAGATGACACAATTTCCTTATTAGTCTGTTCCAAAAATAATGACTCATTTCTATAATTGAAAATAATTCAACTTTAAACTTTTTATTTTACTCTTTTTACCCTTAATGAGAAGCTTTTATAACCACACAAATGTCATGGTCTCACAAAGCTTTTAAGACCACAAATTTTAAAAGTCTCTCTCATTTCTCTTAAACACCGTGCCGAGTCAAACTACCTCATTTAAATTGAAACAGATATAGTAATAATTATAGATGTCAATCAAAACTGTACCCCATAATTGAATAAGGTTCAGTATTGAAACATGAAATCAAGAAATAACACAAATATCAATTATAGGGGCTACTCTTCAAACATGAAATCAATAAATAACTGAATGCGGATATCATTTAATGGGAAGATTTGCAGCCGTACCCTATTTTTATGCCACCTTAACCTATACCCTATTTTTAAAAACTATTGATTTCGTAACCAACTAACAAAAAATCTGTATTAATATGACCATTATACCCCTTCCAAAACATATAAAAGATGCACAACCATACCCAGATTTAAATTCCAGAGCCGTATCACCTCCATCACTCCGTCTCTCCTGAGATCGCCTATCGCAAACCAGATTTGAACCAGATTCAAATTCAAAATTACAAAATACATTGTAAGTATTCAAAATTTGTTTGGCGAACTTCACTGATATGCTGAATTTGCATTCTAAATCTGTTTGACGTTCACTTCTAACCTTCTAATCCGACAAATATGCTGAAATTGTTGGTTTATTTGCTAAACAAGCTGAAGTTATTTAGTTCATATCTAAAAACTTCATTAAAACGAGTTATATGAGTGTTATCATTGTTTATTTGCTAGACAAGCTGAAGTTATTTAGTTCATATTTAAAAAATTCAGCAAAACGAGCTGAAGTTTTCCTCCTACACTGGTTAAATATTAAACATAAATTAAAATTTCATATTGCAAAAAAACTTAAGCATTAGTTGCTGAAGATTTTTACGTAATCTGTAAAAACTTCAGTAATATGAGCTGATGAAGTTTTCCTCCTACACTAGGTAAAAGAAAACATTAAAATTACATATTGCACAAAAAACTTCAGCATAGGTGTTGAAGTTTTTTAGTTAATATTTAAAAACTTCAACAGGAAGAGCTGGAGTTTTTCAGTTAATCTTTAAATACTTAAGCAAGAAGAGCTGAAGTTAATCATTTCCTCTGCTATTTTTCGATTTTGAATAGAATTAATATTAAAAAAAACGCACAAAAAACTTATAACAAAAACTGAACATTTCATTAAACATTAAAAGGATAAATTAACATAAATAACAAAATAACAAAAATAACAAAAAGAAAAACTAATTGTCCATATTATCATCATCATCGTCGTCGTCGTCATCGTCACTACCAGATGGACGAGCATCTTCATCAGCAAGATTATTAAATCTTGCATACATCACAAGCGTATCAAGCTTGTTGCTGATTTCTTCGAGCTCCCTGTCGTACTTGTCTATGAGCTCATCCAGTTTCACCTCAAAGGCCTCTATAATGTCTTGCTTGATTTCTTCCACTATTTGCCAGATCACATCATCCATTTTTCTACTTTTTGTATTTTATGTCTGCTAAAATATATGTGTTTGAGTGAATAAACTCTCAAAGTATAGCGTGCTTTTATAGGGGAAAATAACTTCTGCATGGTATATGAAAAGACAAAGAGGAATTTTAAACGTTGTCTAAAGAAAAGCGTGCATGAATGTGATAGGAATGTAATTATTACACTAACACATACCCCCAACGGAATATAATTACTACTTTAATTGTCTTTATTATGTTCACTCCTGTGTACTATGCAATTAATGCTGAAACGTGCTCAAGTTTGTTGAATTCATTTTCTAAAACTTCAGCTCAATGTGCTGAAGTTATTTAGTTCATTTCTAAAAATTTCAGCACTTGATAAGCTGAAGTTTTTCTCCTGCACTCGATAGTTTTTGTCCAAAGCTTTTTTAAATAACTTAAGCTCAATGTGCTGAATTTATTTAGTTCATTTCTAAAAACTTTAGCACTGGATAAGTTGAAGTTTTTCTCCTGGACTCGATAGTTTTTGTCCTAAAGCTTTTTCAAATAACTTCAGCTCAACGTGCTGAAGTTATTTAGTTCATTTCTAAAAACTTCAGCACTTGATAAGCTGAAGTTTTTGTCCTGAACTCGATAGTATTTGTCGTAAAGCTTTTGTTTATTTAGTGTATTTAGTGATGAGCTAATGTTTTTGTCCTACATTTGACACTTTAGTTATGACTTTCAACCAAAACTACAGTCTACAGGATGAATCCGATTTGCGTTGTTATAACTTTCAATGGGAGTTGGACTCCTGATTTCAAATACTTGGATCATGATACAAAACTTGTTCTACTTAATAAGCACATATCATTCAATAGTTTCCTGAAGAAAATTAGTGAAGTTGCAAATATTGATTCAACCAGATATGTACTAAAAGTATGGTTTGATATCAAACTAAATACAAGCAAAGGAATGCTTGTAACTTCACATGAAGAACTCACTACGTGTGTACATTTGCTTACAACTGATTCAGCCTACAAGAATTGCCATTTCGTCATCAAAAAATACAACCTTCAGAATCTGTAGCATTCAACCAATTTCCTGTATATGCGATAGATTCAGAACCTGAGGCTGACTATCAATATGAAGTACGACAGCCAATAATGGAAGTAGACAACGGGCAACAACCTTCTAACATTACAGCTGCTTCAGAATATATAGTGCTGCCACAATTACCCCCTCCTCCAATAAATTCATACCAGTTTGTCGATAACCAAGAAGAAGAAGGACAACTAATAATGTAAACTGACAACAACACACAATCCAACAAAGCTTTTTGTTACCTTCTGCAATGATAAGAAACAACGAAGATGAAGTAAACATGGAGCTTATACCGATAACATCAGATAGAACTGAAGAAATTGCTGAAAGTTCTTGTGCTTCTCAAAAATCAAGAAAAAGAGTGAGGAGAAAGGTGAAAGAATCTCCACCATGTAAAATACTTAGGCACGATGCGTTGCCTGAGGAAGTAAGAGTTGGATCAATCTTTGAGAACAAACAAAACATGACTAAATTTTTCTGCAGCTTGGAGATAAACCAGAAAGTTGAATTCACTGCTGTTAGATCATGTTCCAAGAGATATGAGCTGAAATTCATCATGGACAAATGTGGTTGGAATGTACGTGCTACCGGAATAAAAAATTCCACACTGTTCAGGGTGATAAAATATCATAACATCCATGAATGCTCGGTTGATGCAAGAAAATCAGATCAGAAGCATGCTACATCAAATTTTATAAGTGAACAAATTATAGAACATGTTCGAGACAAAAAGATAGAGGTTACAGCAGCCTTTGTAGAAAATGAAATGAAAAAGAAATTTGGAATTGACATTGGTTATCACAAGGCATGGCGTGCTATTCAAAAAGTTGTTGCTTGCATAAGGGGAACACCTGAAGAGAACTACCAGATTAGTTCTTCCTTCATACCTACACATGA